GGCCACCAGCGCTCACCTGCAGCGTCCCGCCACGGCTTCGTCCCCGCCCGGACACGCCACGCTGCAAGTGGGGCCCTCGCACCACACCACTAAGGCAGCATTTACCTTGCAGCACTAGATCCGAGTCCGGTTTTCAGTTCAGAAGATAGTTCTTTGGTCAGGCGGTCTCTGCCCGGCGCTGCGAGGTGACGCCTGAATGGCAGGGAAGCGTGGAGGACTCCTCTGCGGGCGTCACCTCTGCATGCTCACGCTCAGATGCCTTTCCTCACTGCCTGGTACTTGTCATTTCAGATTTCCACACAAGCAGAGGAGAACTAAGGAAGTTCAGACTGAATTCAGGCCCTCGCACAGAGCCCGCCGCATTCCACAGCTGTGTGATTTGGGGAAGGTGACGTGCTGGTTGAGGATGGAGACTTCTGGGACTCTGGAAGATAGAGAGGCTGAACCCCTCAGAGCAAAGTCACCCCCAGTCAAACCCACCTTGGCTCATCTGACACCTTTTTGTCAGTGCTGTGCCTGAGAGCTCGTATGTCACACACAAATCCTTGGAAAGAGCCGCAGGAACATCGGGGAGAGGGAACTGGAGGGTCAGTTGCTCTTTTACTTGTGTAAAAGATCATTATAAAGGGTGGTGAAAGGCTTGGATACTGAGCCGGGACCTCGTTGACTGGATGAATTACAAACTGGAACACTTTCAGGTGCTTCCCTTTATGCCACTTCGCCAAGACTTCAGCTCTGAGAACTCCTTAGGAATGGGGCTTACTGTTGGACTGGTCAGTCTGCCAGATTCTGGTGAGCAAGCTGCATCTGAGCATGAAGTATTGAGTTCGCTGCACCACGCACCTATTTTCAGAGTCACTGTTCAGATTTAGAAACAGCATGACAAGGTTTTTTCAGGTTTCTTGGCCAGCATAGGGAGAGGGGCTGAGTACACACACGCTTCAGCTCCCCGGCAGTACAGTTTAGCCTCTACGGCACCTGCACACAGCACCAGCATGCCAGAGATGAAGGCTCATAGAGTACTGTGGCAGGTGCTTGAGTTCCTGTCAAACTCCTTCAGGGCAATGAAATCTTAAATGTTAAGGGAGTGGGGAACAGGAGCCTGAATGTGGTTCTGCACAGGTAATGCCCCGAGAGATGTTTGTGCTTTAAAATGGTTCCACATCCTTACTCTGAGATATCACTGAGAAGAGTTCATTGATCTCAGCAGCAAGAGGGCAGCAAGATTAGCAGCGTGAGTTCGCTTTGTTCCTTTATTTATGGCTCAGTTGATCCATAAGTCCTACCTGGACTTCAAAGGTCTGTTCACTGGTCTCCTGGAAATGTTCCTTCCTTCAGTTTTTCTCCAGTTTGCTGACTGCACTACACAGGCCACACAACCAAAGTGATCTTTTTATCTGGTTGTGTTACGTGGCATTTGATTGCGTTACTCCTGGCTCTAGGCTAGTGCTTCTAGCGCTGTATTTCATTTGGCTCCGTCGCCCAAAGGTCGTTTTTCCTCCCTGTACTTTCTCCATCAGCTTTTTGAAAACAGGAACAACACAGAGAAAAACGCAGTAAGTTTTGAAGTTTATTTCTTAATTGTTTAGAAAAGGTCTCATGATATGTATATGTTTTTTAAACGTTCCTCCCATTTTGTGTATTCCAGCTTCATTTTATTCTAGCGATCACAGGCTCTTGCCTATTTCCAAATAGCCCCTGGCAAGAATTGAGGAAACTGAACCAGAACAGCGCATTAAACTGTCCCTGGAGGTGCAACCGCTCTCCGTATGCAGGTGAAAGGGGAGTGGACACCAAACAGACCTTGCACTGAGGCAGGCAAAACTCTTGCACAACCTGTTGGGCTTTGGCAGGCAGCTCGTGGGGCTCTCAACGTAGAAGCTGGAACCAGCCAAGATCAAACTGCACAAATTAACAAAATGGAGGAGGTTAAGGGACAGCAAAAGACAAAGTACAAGGACAAGATGCCTTATCTCCACTATTTAGAGTGAAAAAGCAAGCAAGGCAGATTTATCTGTCGTACAACTCTATTGCCATTCAAGGAGTTGCTCTGGAGTGTTCCATCCTGCATGCACAGAAGGGCCCAAAATGCCACTGCTCACTGCACACACAACTTCACTGGGAGAGTGGACCTACAATTCAAGGTGGGCTTACAGCAGAGAAGACTGTGGGGAAAACAATTTAGAATCTCCTCCCGTCACCACGACCGTGCTGGAGCGAGGCGGTAGCTGATGAGTAGTGTGTTTATCCTCTGTGACACCAGCAGCAGAGGACCAGCAGGCAAGGAGCTCTGAACAAAGTTCCAACTTCTTGTTGAAGGCAGCTGTCTTTGCAAGAGCACACAATGGGTGATGTTTAATGAAATTGTGCCTTACTCAAAGCAGAAAATTGGCTTAAGACTCTCTTACATGGAGCTCTTGTGCTGCAAGTATTGTAAATAAGAAAAAAAAGGCACTTTGTTTGTTTTGGCTCAGGCAACGGTTTTGCATGCACAGCAGCCCTATCTCGAGATTCTGCAGGGAGATGTGTATCGAGAAGGGCTCTGCTACCAAGCCCAGCTTGAGGTCTGCCATGATTAGCAGTCTACAGATTAGGCTCTTGGTTTTGATTGTTGCTCTGCTCTGCTTCTACTTGAACAGAAACTGCGTGAGGAATTTATTGTGCTGGTAGAAAGAGATTTGCTCTCTACAAAAAAGGGAGAAGTTGGAGGTCAGGAATCTGGAAGTTAGGCAAAGTACAAGCGTGCTACCGGGAGAGCGTGCAGCAAGACTGGGCAGCTTCCATGAGGCAGCAGAGAAGGACCAGGTTTGTTCCAGTGGTGCGCAGAAGCCCCGCTGGCGGCTGCGGTAAGCTGCAGGTTACAGAGCAAAGGAAGTGGTTGGCAGTACCGTGTAAACAGGCCATTTTCTTTAGGCTTAGCACCGCAGGCAAGCTGCTACAGCAGAGCAGCCATGCAGCACCTGCAGGGCTTGCGCTCAGGCACCAACCATGCAAGTGCTCTCAGGGCGACAAGAAAGCTGCCATCACCGACTCGAGTGCACTAGGCTCTCCTCAGCAAATTTAACAATAAAAAGATCAGGTAAGAAGACAAATATCCTCTGCCTGTGTCAGCACTGAAACTGAAAGAGTTTTGGGGCAAATCTGCTTTTTCAGCGGTGACATTTAGGATTTCCTGCAGGTTGGAACAATGAAAAGTAAAAGGGACCGGCCTGCTTGGCTGCTTTAGGTCAGCCCGCAGGGACATGCGTTGCAAGCTGCAGTTCATGGTGCCCTTTTCAACTAAAGGGCAGGTTTACTCAGGAAACACACACAGATGAGGCTTCTGCCTCATTCCCCAAAAGCAGCAGGTCCAGCTGAAAGGATGTGTGAGACTGACTGGTTTGAGCAGCTGCTTTCACCTTTTCTGAGCACTGTAGTAACTTGACTTGCGTTAAGCTGACTGACATCTCACACCCAGCATACTATGCAGCCCTCTCTGTGGCTGGTATCGCCAGCCAGCAGAGACAAACAGACTTCCAGATACAACCAGAGGGAAAAAAATAGTTCTGCAAACTGGAACCCTCCTTATGGCGCGTACCTGGAAATGGAAGGTCACAGGGACGGGAGGATGGGAAGGCAGGAGGGGTACAAAGGGACACAGGCGAGAGGCTGCGAAGGGTGCTGCACAGATGGGGAGGAGGAATCAGTGGCCACTTCCTTCCAAATCCTGTTTACAAATCCAAACAGAGCTACAACACGTGGCAAGTGTAACCATTAACTTTACTGGAGAATCTGATGCCACAGAAGAGTAGTGGAACTTTTGCTGTGTTTGAGGCATTACTCAGCTTGCACGCTGTGCGCTCGCGCCAGGGCTGGCCAGCACAGCTCCCTCCGCCACCAGTGCTGGCCCAGCCATGGCAGCACACAGCAGTGGAGAGAGCCTGGAGCCTGGCTCGAACGGCTTCCACCGAGCTGACAAAGCCACTCTGGGGAAAGGACAAGAGCACCGATGCAGTCTGCAGAGGGAGACCGTGTGGTCGGCAGTGCCTTCACCTAGAAAAGCAGCTTTTCTCAGCTGTGCAGGCTGTTCTTCGTAAAGTACAGCATGAGCCTACGGTTGAGGATCTTTATTAATGGGACTAACCCCATCCATCCCAGGAGCGGGGGATCTCACTTGGGTGCCTGTGCAGCCCCCTGCCCCGAGGCGCTGGGTGCCTTTGCTCCAGCTGTGACACAGCAGCCTCTGGTGCGCCAGGAGCCCTGGCAGGGTCCCCACCAAGGGCTGCGTCCTGACCCGTCTCTTTACTTAAGAGCAAAAATCTTCCAAGTGAGTGTGTTGCAAAAGGAAAAATCATTGAAAATGGCTTTCACTCTTTCAGACAGATCTGCTCTGCCATACCCTCAGGAGACCTTTGCCCCTCCTATGGTGCTGTGACCCAGAGAACTCAGACTATGGATGGAAAGGGCAGTTCTGACTGGCCCCAGTTTCCACACGGATCAAATCGCCTCTGCCCTCAAGCAGATCCAGTGGTGTTGGAGCAAGAAAGAAAAGCTTACAGAGCTACAGCTCACATACCTGTAGTGGACAAGAGGAGAAAGCAGCTCACTGCAGTCTAAGATGTAGTTTCCTTCCCTTCTAAGTTGCAGAGAGGCCATGCATTTTGTGAAATGGTGTTTCTGTATGATTTTTAGAAGAAATGCTGAAACACTACAAAAAGCCTGCATAAAATAATCCATTTTACTTAGAGTATAACCCCCTAATTCTGGCTGGCCTGCTTTAGGAGCTGGTGCTTGAAATGCTCCAGCAGTTCGGGTGCAATCTTATCAGCGGTCAAGGTCTTGATGTTCAAGATCCCTTCGTGGGCTTCCTGGAAGAGCTGCTTCCCCACCGCTTCCTCCACCCGCCTGCGCCACTCCGCTAGCTTTGGCCTCTCCTCGAAGAGGTCATAGCCAGCACCGACAGGCTGCGGAGAGAGAGCAAGAGAACCCAGGAGTGAGTCGCACAACGCGTTTACCAGGGATGGGATCAGAATAAAGCATGGCTACGCTTTTGGCTCAAGGCAGCAGGCAGTCATCACATTAGGTGGAGTCCATCTCTGGTTCTTAACCAGTGGGAAGCAAGTGTGGTCATCCTCAGCAGCTGCTGTCCCCTGGGACATGCAGCGAAAGAGCACTGCCACAGCTAACCCAAGAACTGTGGAATGCAGAACACAGAGGTCCGTGCACACCAGCACATCTCTTCCAAATATCTGTACTTTCTCCGCCTAGACTGTAATTTATCTTTTTTTCTGAGAAATTATATCTATACTTCTATAGAGAGAACTGTCTTAAAGTAGGTGTTCCCTGGCAAACTCCATTACGGTCAAAGAGGAACAAGATTTAACTCTGCTAAGGAGTTAACTGCAGGGAGAAGGATCTGCTATTAGAGAGGCAGATGCCTGGCCTGCCCGCAACCCAGCTTGCTGATCCATCAGCGTTGGGGTTGATGCTCACCTGCATGAGCTCCACCAG